AAATGTTCATAATTAAACAAGGAACACAAAATATAACCTCAATTCGACATATTATTTAATACATTTTCAATAATTATATTCAATGAAATGTGAATAACTATGAAAATGTTCATTATTAAACAAGGAACACAAAATATAACCTCAATTTGACATATTATTTAATACATTTTCAATAATTATATTCAATGAAATGTGAATAACTATGAAAATGTTCATTATTAAACAAGGAACGAGGATTTCAAAAAATGGACCAATTAGCGATTGATTAACCGACTGATGACAATTCTGATTGGTCTGTTAACACTTTGGACGACAAGTTGTAAAGAATGTGCTGGAGTTAGTGGTGGTGGTAGTGTGTCGTGTATTAAATACAATCCTCGTTAAGGATTATTATACATTGTATTTTGTGATCAATATTAATATCTCTCGTCACTTGGAAATATATATAGTTGTAATATTGTATAAAAGTATAGTAACTAGATGTAGAATAATAACTAGAATTTTAACTAACTATAAAATAGTAACTGGAATTTTAAGTAACTACAGAATAGTAACTAGAATTTTCTTTAGCACGGATTCTTTTCGCATATTCCTTTCAGTTTTAAAATTTACTTTGTTGAAATTTTCTTTTTCAAATCTGTATACACCTAATATAAAGTATTAAGTTAAAGTACGTTGATTTAAGTCGTGAAAATTACAATAGTAAAAAAAAAATCTCTAAGAATGCTCATTAAAACGAGATGAAAAGAGAGAGAGAGAAATAAAAAACAAAATGGTCAGTGTAGTTGATGTTAGCAAGGACTTGCCCAAGACGTTAACCTAGGAAACGAATAAATTTATACACCGCCCTCCACCATTACGTCATACAGTCAATATAATACGGCAGTAAGAAGAAGTAAGACCGAAACATTATAGCGATGATTCACAAGCTTTCAGAGAGAGCGTGTCTTTAACCGATGACTATGACTATGACGATGACGATGACGATTCGAAGATAGAGTCAATTGAAGAACACAACAAGAAATTATTTTAACATATATATATATATATATATATATACATACGAACAATTTAAATACAATTATTTCGTATTTTCATGATTCGTAAAAATCAATCAGCGGTTACTATCTTGATAATTTTTCTTTTTTTTCATTACGATAGACGCCATTTTGAATTTCTTATGAAAACGGAATCTAATTGGTCAAAGCAAAATAATATGTCTGTTTCCGGAATTGTTAAATCGATGGAACATATTTTTTTGCACTTCATCTATATAAGATTTGTTAACACGTTAGAGTGAGAGAAAGAGAAAGAGAGAGAGAGAGAGAGAGAGAGAAAAAAAGATAAGTTTATATTATCTCGAATGCTTATCTCTCTCCGAGTCTCTATCTGCTGTGCTATATTTTACTTGTCTTGATAAGAAAATCGTTTTCACGGTATTGAACATAATATATATGAATATCTGTAGTGATTACAGAAGCTGCGAACACAATTTGTTAATTGTTCGATACAACATCCTATCGAATGATTTTTTTAAAAATTAATAGATAATTAAATATTCTTTTTTTTATTTTTTTATTTTTGTAAAAAAAAAAAAGGTTATAAAACTGAGCGCATAAAGCTTGTGGAAACGATCTGTTAAAAAACTAACCTCAAATATTACACAGATAATGTTAAAAAATTATTTAAAAATGTTTGACCCACCCTGTATAATATAATACTGGAGACACACAATTATCCTAATCATTTAATAATCTTTATCGAGATTCTAACTATTCCATTTATTTATTTATTTATTTCGACAATTAAGAAATGAATTTGAAAGAAAATGTAATTTTGGATCCTACACGAAATGCGAACAAATATATAATTTTCTTTTACCAATAGAAAAAGTTTAATCGCGAACTTTGAAAAGATTACCTTTTTTTTCTATTTGTTTCAATTATTATTATAAAAAAAAAAAACCAAGAGAAAAGTGAAAAAAAAAAAACATGTACGAAAGAATTAGATAAAATGCATTTTATTCGATAACCACAAAAACATTCAAATGAATTATTTGAACAAGTGCACAAATGTGTGTGTGTAGTAGTAGTAGAATTTAAAGGATTTGAAATTGTTACTTCGAAACGTTACATGTGTACATTTTAATGCGATGACATTCATTTACACGCCACGATAAAGATAATTAAGTGGATTATTTAATGAAATGAGATAAATGAATTAAAAAAAAAAGAAAAAAAAATTAAAAGTAATGGAGGAGGAGAAGAATCCTCAGGGTTTTTGTTGCAACACGACAATGCACGACACACACACACACACACCACGCAAATTGAAAGAAAGATAGAATAAAATGACACAATCGTTGTTGTTCCCGATTCTCGTCTTCGTTCATAAATAATTAATTGTTCGATGCAAATTGAATGCAAATATAATCTATCGACAATTCCCGATTTGATAATTCAAATCCGAATTTTTAAATCAAATTGATGTAAAATAAGAAATTCAATCTTTACGAACGAATACACAATTTTCGAGAATACTAACACACAATCGATTTCTCAAAAAAAAAAAAGAAAAAAAAAATTAATCAAGTTGACTTATCGTGGATCGATAAAAAGACATTACTACTACTACTACTACTAACTACTACTACTACAACTTTTTTTTTTTCAAATCTTACGTAACTATTGTAAAATTTTTCTCTCCCTTCTACCCCCTCCCCACCTTTATCTTTTATGCATTACAATATATTTAATTACTTAAATTTAATTATTAATTATCATTAAACAAAAATATAATCTCTAATATTACGTTGTAATCTTTTTTATAGGATTATAATTATTATGAAATGAAATATAAATGAAATAAAAAAAAAACCAAAGAAAAAATTAGATAAGATTTGACTCCGTGTGTATATGGGAGACGAGAAATAGAGAGAGAGAAAGAGAGAGAGAAAAAAAAAATATTATCGTGGAAAAGGAAAATGAAAATGAAAAATAGGAAAAAAGAATAGAGAAGTAGCAGATAATATCGTAAAGGATGTAATCACTTCTATCGATATATATCGTTAAGCTAACTCTCCTGCTGACATGCAAGCAACACTACCAACCAACCAACCAACCAACCAACGAACGGGATAAGAATTCTAATCTCGCGACAGTATTGGCGACGTTCTTTTAAACACGCGCACCGATTTTATTTTTCTCAACGTTACTACAACACCCGGTTAAATACGACGTACCTAACTAATCGCGTAAAAAAAAGAAGAAGAAGAAGAAAAAAAAAAGACACGTTTAAAGATACTCTCTTGAAGTTAAATTAATGCACATTTCCGGTTTCGCTGAAAGACAAAAAAAAATCCCCTTAAGAAAAAAACTTTGAAAGAAAATTCTCAAGAAAAAATTCAATAAAAAAAGGGACGCTACTAGATAAAAAAGAAAAAAAAAAAAAAAAAACGTTTAATAAAAATACCAAATAATGATTATACAAATAAAAAATAAAACGATCTGACGAATTGCGATTAATTATTATTATTATCATTATTATTATTATCACGATGGATAAATTGCGACGATAAATTATCACTAATAATATTCGTATAAAAATCTTAACTAATAATAAATATAATATAATATAATATAACGCGAAGGTCGTTTATAATCTAAAAATAGGGAAAAAGAATGAAAAAGATAGATAGATAGAAAGAGAGAAAGAGAGAGAGAGAGAGAAATAGAAAGAAAGACACGCCTCGTAATCCTTTGAGGTTATGGTCGTTCGCCTTCCTTCGTCCACCTTCGTCTAACTACGTCGTCGTTGTCTCTCCCGAGAAGCACCGAGCTAGGCCGAAAGCACTATACGACGCTACTTTCACGATGGTACGAGCGAAACGAACGAATGAGCGAACGGTGGAACGCGAACCAACGAACCAACGAATGAGAGAGAAAGAGAGAGAGAGAGAGAGAGAGAGAGAGAATGGGCCAAGTGCGCGCAAGCGCACACAATTAAAGATAAAAAGAGACAGCAAAGGGATATAAGAGAGACATAGAAAGCTCGAAATTCCTCGCGTGAGTGCTTCTTCAGACTTGGAAGGAGGTTGCGTTAATAGTAATAGTAATAGTAATAATAATAGTAGTAGTAAGTAGCTTAGCCTTTGAAAATTTAGTCGAGGTCAAATATGAGAAAAGCAACAATTTTTCGTTAAATTAAAGAAACAGAATAGATTTTTTTTTGTATATATATCTTGTTAAAGATTGGAATGATAGAAAAAGAACTTAGATGGAAAATAGGCAGGTAGTCTCAAGAGTTAATTAACAACAGGTTTTAGGTGGTATAGGTGTGTTCTGTAGTTAGTAATAGTGTCTATGTGCATTAGCTTTGCTGTTTGTCTGTCTCTCTCTTCTTTTGCGTCGCAGAACTCGCGATAGTGTTGTATGCCCCCTCCACCCTCCCCCAACCCACCCCACCCGATCCCCCCCGTTAGGAGAGATCGATAGTCCGACTAACTCTTTTCCTCTGCTGTTCCTTCATTTTTTCTCTTCTATTTGTCTGATGATTCTCAGGTAACAATCTCTTGTCAGGTAAAATAGATTCCAAGAATGACGACCGGCTAACCCACCCCACCCGTTTGTTCTCATTCTATTGCGGAAGGCCACGAACCAACCAGGAGATGAGGAGGAATAGGTGAAGGAGGAAAATGTTAGAGGATCGTTAGAAAAAGGAATTAAATGAAAATGATATTAAAAAATCTTTCTTATCTTACTACTACTTGTTAGATATTAATCCATTTTTATGACGTGTGTTGTCGTCGTTGTATAATTATTTGTACAAGAATTTAGTTAATAAATGTTCCCCCAACACAGTGTGTTAGACGTACGTTATAATATTATATCTATGATAGGATAAAAAGGTATTAATTTAAAAAATAAAAGGTAATGATGCTTATAATAATAATAATAATAAAAAAAATGTAACACGCACTATGGCGTCTTTTGTACACCTACCTATTGGTTATAGTCTTTGTACAATAATAATTATTTAAATATCACGAGAGATCGGCCTAGGGTGACCGACGACGACGCCGACGACGGGAGTTTATAGAACTACGACGATCTTGGGATTTTTTTTGAATTTCTTCGAATCGCCGGACGAAGAAAGCAGCAACGCGAGATGTATATATATATATATATATATATTTATATATATAGAAAGAGAAAGATAGAAAAAGACGAATAGAGAAAACTAGAGAAGACCAACGAGAATAGGAGAAATGTGAGACACGAGAAATTAGTATTCGGGGGAAAAAAAAGGAACTGACTAGACACCACGACGATGACGTCGACGACGACGATGACGAGGATTAACACGCGCGTTGAATTATTCCAATTCTCGCGTACGCGGGTGGAAGATGAAAAAGAGAAGCGTTACCGATGAGGAAACGAGCGAAACAATATTCGCGCACGTTATGACCGAGAGAGAAAGATATATATATATATATATAATATATATAT